AGGGATCTGCTGGAATAACAGAGGGGCCGACAGCCCCTCTAATTGAACCCCACCTTTAAGGGGAAGGTCCCAAGGTGGGGTTCGGTCAGAGGGGCTGTCAACCCCTCTATTATTCTAGCAAAACCCTTTGTGTGAAGCTGTAAACATTTTAGCTTGTACTATACTATGCTTGTTTAGGAAATTAAAGAGCTGACATGTGAATCCATAATCAAAATCGCGGAATATGGTACATTCTAACGTTATGAATATTTGTCCAAACTCCAAATTTGTACATTGTCAATCCCAGTTATAGTCCTAAGAGCATCTCCAATCCGTGGCCAAATTTGGTTCACCAAATTTGCGTAGGACCCTCTCTAATGAGGGGTCAAATATAGTGTAATAAATAGTATTGAACCACCAAATATAAGAATTTTCATTAACCCCATTTTGCCCTTCTTTCCCCTTTACAAAATTTTTTCTATGTTCCTCTTTAATATTTTAGTATTAATAGAATATAATTATTTTAATGTGATGGTTATTTTTTTAACATTTATTTTTAAATTGTAATCAATTAATAAGAAATAATTATTTAAAATAGTACAATGTAATTTTTATAATTTACGGTATTATGTTTAATTTTTTTAATATATTAATAAATGCAATATTTTATTTCATTAAATAAAATTTCTAATTTAATTTATTTTTGTAATACTATAATTTATAAATAAATAATTCAAAGTAATTTTTATGTAAAATTTTGTGTAAAACCATCTCTATTGGTCTATACCAAATTTGGTGCCAAATTGGTATACACCATTGGAGATGGCCTAAGATGTTTACGAAAACTTATATTATGTTCTCTACTTTTGAAGGAGGCGCCATCTGTGGTTTTCAATGAAGGTAGTGTTTTGATATCATTTCAACCACATATTCTTCAATAAAATAATATTATACTCAAATCCAAAATTTTTTCTTATTTTTTAACCACACATTTCAACATCAGTCACTATTCCATAATACATTCTTCCCAAATAATGGATGACAAACATAACTTCTATTTCATCTACAACTCTACTTCTAGGGTTTGGATTTTCTTTATAAATACTAGACTCTTCTTCTAGTTTTTGCTGGGTTGTAATATCTCTCTCATACTGGTTGTCAATAAAACGCTCGGTTCCTCCGTCACTTTTAATCTTGTTTTTACTTGTGTGATCATATACTTCATATTGCCTCATTAACCTCCTTAGTTTTCCCAACAAGTGGTTTCAGGGGAGCTTCTATCTAATCTCTAATCTGGGGTCTTACCCTGCTGCTACAAATATATTGGTTACACTGAGCTCACCTAAAAAGTGAAAATTGTGTGCAGTCAAAGAGTTGTTTCGCTTTCGACAAAGTGGTTCTAGCTCTGGTATGAATCCTAACAAGTGGTATCAGAAATATAACTTATGAAAAATGATATTCCGCTTTTGAATCACAAAACAAGGTTTTCATTGTGGCAAGTAAAGATGATAGCAGTTTTGGCATAAATGGATTTGGATTATGCGTTGTTGGAATTTGACAAGATGCCCATAACTTGGACAACAAAGAAGAAGCACCGGAGAGATCAAAAGGCACTTTCACATATAAATCTTCATCTGTCTAACAACATTCTTCAGGATGTTTTGAAGGAGAAGACAGCAACTGCATTATGGTTGAAACCAGAGCAACTGTGTAGGACAAAGAGTTTGACAAGTAAGTTGCATCTAAAGCAGAGGCTATATTATCATCGCATGGCATAAAGAGGATCTTTGAAAACTGATGCGAACTCGACTAGCAGGGTTTCTATCGAACCCACTGGAATTGACATCGGATCCCAAGAACGTCCAAATACGACTAAGGCTTAGGATTTAACTTCTGAACGATGAACCAAGAAACAAAAGATATATTAAACCAATGACCTTTGGATCACAAAGTCTCGAAATCTCTTGACCTAAAGAATTAATGAATCAAACAACCCAACGGTAACGGCGACGCTAATGACCTTTTGATTACACAACCTAAAGAATCTCACTCGATAATTTGATCGCCACAAGAAAATATAATTTCCTTGATAAGTTCGGTAAATTGTTCAACAAGAACAAAGATAAGTGAAGCAAAGCTTCGAGAGAATTTTATTATTCATCATGGAAAAGTCTTGTTTACCATGAAGATAAAAATCCTATTTATACTAGAAAATATAAAATAATTAAAAGCATAATTAAATCCCCTAAATTATGGAAAAACTGTGCACTAGAGTTCTAGAATAAAAAAAATATCGAATAACATAAAATCCTACCATAATTAAACTATCGCACGAAGTTGGAAAATTTGACCCGAATTATTGAGGTGCAACCTCATGGTATTGATGAATACGGTCGCATGATGCGATGAAATGCTGCTTGGAATTTCCCTGCCGCTTCTAGTACGGCCACATGGTGTCAATGCCTTGCGGTCGCAAGGCTTTACGGTAGAACCCCAATTCCAGCTTCTTGAGTCGCATTGGTTCCAAACATTTTTGGTCTTCGACTTCCACACACATTTACTTGCAAATTGTCTTGTCATCCACATCATTTTGCGCCCTATAGCTTGATCAAACAATTGGCCAACTATATCACTCCCAATTTGCCTCCAACTTAGCTCGATTCTTAGCCTTGACCTTTTCCCAACAATCAATAAATGCTCGATAGTTTGGTGCACGTCTTGGATCACATAATCTCCTCTCTCTTCGAAAGGATTTGACCTTGAATCCAAAACTTGATCACCCAAATTGTATCCTTTATTTCCGATCATAGCAATCACATGAAAAGGCTTATCACCTCTTGGATGATACTAAGACCTCTTTTGAACCCGTGTCCTCCTCTTGCATATGTAAATCCAATCGCCTTCACAATGATCAAAATGCTCGCATTGTGACTGCTTACTTTGCCCGTTTGAGATACTCCTAAAACAATTTCATGTGGTGAGTCACTATGCTTTCTTCATGTCTTACTCGGCCTAGGTAATTGTAGAGATGACAATGCAAATGGCTTCATGTTTCCAAGTATTTTATCTTGGTAGCTCAACTTCTTGTAAATAAATCCCTTCCATTGCATTTGAAATTCCCTTGTCTCCTCAGGAATCACAAATTCAATCTCCGGCAAATAAGATATCTCCAAAGAAAGATGTTATTGCTTAATGTTATCCACCAATTGATGTTCCATACTTGGCTTTTAAGGGATTCCAATTGAATTAGAATTAATTTTTGGAATCGAATCTTCGTTGACCTACAAAATAGAATTAGCAAAAATAGGGAGAGAATTGTTAGTTATTGCCAACTCCGAAGACTCCTCCTCCTTTTCATCCCACAATTTCAATTCCATTTTAATCATTTCGTCATTCTCATTTTCAATCGCAATCCCCTTTTTATTTGCTTGTGGCTTCTCTTCCTTTTTCTACCTCATTATTTTTACTTTTACTCTTTCGCTCCTTCGATTGAACAACTTGAGAATTAATCATTTGACGAATTTCTGCCCATTCCTGCTTATAATCCATCCTAGCACCCTTGCTTGATTTACTACCCGTACACTTATCAAAATATTTTTTCTTCTCCCTTGGATACTCAACCCCATAAGTTCTTCTAGGCACCGCTCTAAGTTCTCGCTCACGCCGATCACTTTTATCATAGTTAGGTGCATATCGTCTCCTCATAATCGCCCTCAATTCACCCCAAGTTTCCATTGGCCTCTCACCATACCTTCGCCTAGATGTTTTCAACTCATCCCACCAAATTAAAGCATAATCCACGAATGAGCCAACTACTAACTTTAACTCTTTCTCCCCGGAATAATCATGGCGCTCAAATATTAATTCAACATTTTCTTCCCACGCCACATATGCGTCGGGATCTTTTCTACCCTTAAATTGTGGAATTACCGTTTTTACATTAATCACTCTTCGTCCAACACCATATTCACAATAACTCCTATCCCTTTCTCCAAACCTATCACCTCTATGTCTCAATCCCCGTACTCCAACATCAACCAACTCATCTTCATATGCATTACGAATTTCAATCAAAGGCTTCCATCTATCCCAACTTCGCACATTAGACACGTCATCACATTGATTCCTATGAATTTTTTTCAACTTCACATCAATCCTATCCATCTTATTTTCCATGTTTTCAATCATCTTTTCAACCACCTCATCATATTTTCCAACATTTTTTTGGAATTTTGATTTTGACTTGACAATTTATTTATTTTTTTGACTTTTTTTTTGCTCTTTCTTTTACCCCTGTTTTTTTTTTTTGACAAATCAAAGACTCACAATAATTGAAAAAAATTATTGAACTCAAAAACACAAAAAAATAATAAAACAAAAGACTGAATAAAAAAAGCTGGATATAACCTTGATCTTGGTGCCTAAAGCTCTGATATAAAATTATGCGAACCCAGCTAGAAAGGTTGCTACCGAACCCACAGGAATTGACACCGGATCCCAAGAACGCCCAAATACGACCAATGTTTAGGATTAAACTTCTGAACGATGAACCAAGCAACCGAAGGTATATTAAACCAACAACCTCTTGATCACAAAGTCTTGACATCTCCTTCGAATTTGTGGATTTGACCCAAAGAATTAATGAATCAAACAACCCAACGGTGACGGTGATGCGAAGGACCTTTTGATTGCACAACCCAAAGAATCTCACCTGATAATTTGAACGCCACAAGAAAATATAATTTTCTTGATAAGTTCGGTAAATTGTTCAACAAGAACAAAGATAAGTGAAGTAAAGCTTTGAGAGAATTTAATTATTCATCATGGACAAAGTCTTGTTTACAATGAAGATAAAAATCCTATTTATCCTAGAAAATATAAAATAATTAAGAGCATAATTAAATCTCCTAAATTAGTAGGCTATCTAGTATCTTTTACAATCTTTCCTCACTTTGAGGCCAAGTTTTTGTATCTCTATTTTAATATTGCTCTTTTGGTAAATTTCTGTGACTGCAGGCAAAACAATACAAAGTATTGCCTTCTTGGCTTCCCTGTTTGAGGAAAGTATCTCTCCTCATCTTGTAGTTGCTCCACTTTCAACTTTGAGGAACTGGGAACGTGAATTTTCCATTTGGGCTCCTCAAATGAATGTTGTAAGTATGCAAGATAGTTAAGGTAATTTAAATATTAGTTCATATGTGTACTCAGCAAGAGTTAACTGTTGCAGGTGATGTATGTTGGCTCTACCCAAGCTCGTGGTGTGATCAGGGAATATGAATTCTACCATCCTAAAAATCAGAAAAAGAGTAAGAAGAAGAAATCTAGTCAAGCTGTTAGCGATAGCAAACAAGATAGAATAAAATTCGATGTCTTCCTGACATCGTATGAAATGATAAACATGGATTCAGCATCACTAAAACCTATCAAGTGGGAGTTCATGGTAATATTATGCTTTTTTGTGTGCATTTTATGCCTTCTTAAAAGCTATGCTGACATCTATATATAGATAGTTGATGAAGGCCACCGTCTTAAGAACAAGGATATTTTTCGCAACGTTTAATATTAAAACATTGTTAATATAACTTCCAAAACATATTTGTCACAACATTTATTAAACGTTGCAAACATAGGTTCTTTTGCAGCGTTTATCAAAACGTTGCCAATATGAAGTTAAATTGGTTAATTGTATCTACTGCGGGGACCTTTGGTTTCAGTAGCAGTATCCTTTAAGTCTTATTTAGCCTCTCTCCTCCTATTTCTAGTTTGATTTTTGGCCTTTCTGGTCTTTCGCACTTCTTTCCTTAGTAGCGATAAGCTAGTTACAAAATAAGTGTTGATAAGACATAAAATGTCGTGTTTTACATCCATTACTACATTCATTTTTGTGATTAATTAACGCGTAAGTGCACTGAGTACCCTTATATTTTGATTTAGGTCGCAATTGGTTGATTATGGGATAAATTAGAGGAAAGGAGTGAAGAAGAACCAAAGTGAAAGAAATCAAAAGATCAAGGACTAAATTGCAAATATCCAAAAGTTGAACCGGGAGACAAACGATGGAATGAAGATTCAAGAGTTTTAGAGGTCAAGTGGATGAGGAAAGAAGTCAAAGAGGTGAAATATAGTCGAAGTATAATCACACATCAATTTTCGATCGAAAAAGTAATGCACCTATTTTTAGCATCATATTGGGACCCATTTTCGACATGGTAGATGATAGAATTGGAAGATGACTTCTGAAAAAAGTTGTAGGTCTTGGAGTTACCTTTTCACCACAACTTGAATCACCTCAATCGAACATCGGGAAAGAAAGTTATGACTAAAATACTGAAAACTGTCTCGCGGAGAAAACTGTATAACCATGCGGTCGCATGGTTCGTTTTCCATGTGGTCGCACGAACTGGTTTAGCAATTTTTGGAGCCCTTTTTATTGTTCCATGCAGTAGCATGGAAATATACTATGCGGCTACATGGAAGGAATTCGAGGCGCGATTTTTTATTTCCTTTTTCCGTCTAACCATGTACGGAAACAATTCTTTTCACCACATAAATACCCCAATTCACCCTAGAACGTGAAAGAATGCCCCAAATCACTTTTCTCTCGTTTGTGCTCTAAAATTGAAGATGTCTAGCTAATTTCTCATACTTGGTCGAGGATATTGAAGCCCCAAAATCTATACAACTGTGAGATCGAATTGTTTTATTAGTTTAATTCATGTTTTTGGGTATTGAACATTCTTTTGCATTTATTTTCAATGATTGTGGTGTTTAATTGCTAGGATGCATACTAGTTTGTTATTCATTACAATCTGCTGCTAAGTTAAACATCAAAAATCCGTAATTGTTTGATTGATTTAACTTGTAAAGCAACTAGGATTAGTAACTTGCTGGTTTGGAAATTATTAAATCTTACGAAGAATGTTTGAATAGGTTAAATGCAAACGCTTGGCTTGTGTTATCTAGTTCATCGATTTCTCTAATATGTAAAGCTGTTATTGAATTAAATCTTAGCGCTTGTCTATGGTTGTTTGATAATTAGGATTAGTTAGAAGGTCGTTGCCCTAACTAATTACACTTAAGGAGAAATAGGAAATTAATTTGAATGGTAATTATTTTTCCAACGGTGAATATTCAAAATATGAATTGATTCATACTTGCATCTATGATCAGTTGTAAAATTTTGAAGGTGTATAATAACTCTGGGCAAGGTTAGTTTTTTTCATTGCTTGAATCTAATTTATTAATTTGCATTGTTTTTAGTTAGAATTGATTTCAACACATTCAAAACCTTCCTTTTAGTTAATTTAGTATAGAAATACACTAATCACTCTTCGTGGGATCGACCCTTACTTCCACTACTACATTTGTTTTAAGGAGTAGAGGTTTTAATTTGGAGTGCCTACGATAGCACACACCAAGTGTTCCCATGTGTTCTTAACTAAATATTTGATATTGTTGGGTGGGAAGGAAATATTGGGTCCCTTGTTGCTAGGGAAAGGGAAAGGGAAAGGGAAAGGGAAAGGGAGAAACTATAGAGTAAAGTTCTACTACTATTATGGCAAAGGAATTTTTTTATCTTTGGAGTTGAAACTAATGTTCGTTATTTGAGTTGTTTGATTACTAATTTTGTATCTCAAAATGTGAGAAGACTAAATTTAATGCTAGCCTAATCTCTTGATTAGAATAACACGTTTTTACACCATCTTATTGGAATGATATTAGTTTTAGCGTGAAGTTGTACTTGATGGAGGTGCATTTTATAAAAGAGCATGCTTGATGGTGGAAGAATTTGTTCGATTTCTTCAAACTTGATGGTGCCGATGCACATAAAGTTGAGCCTCTCTTTATAAGCAAGGTATTCCATTTGAAACTTTGATTTTCTACAGCAAGAATGATACATATAGAAAAAATGCAGTAAATATGTCTTAACAAGGCTCAAACTTGTGGAATTTAGATTCACTAGCTTTTGCTCTGTTTTATTGTAGCGGCACAGTCTTCAAATGTTGATAGATCAAATTTGTGGAATTTAGATTCATAAGCAAGGTGTCAAAGATTTCCTCACAAAAAAAGTACCAAAGCTCGTGTCGAAGATTGCTGTGAAGAAAATTGAGGAGGCTGATGGGTTTGAAAAATGCACTGCTTAGTTTGTCATTTTTTTTTTTTTTGGAAAATGTATTGGATTTTTAGGTATTTTAGAATTTTGGACTTGGATTTTGTATGGGTATTGTTACATTTTAGAGTTCAATAAATAATGATTATTGGAGTTATTTGAAATAATTATCCTCTGTCATGTTTTGTGTTGGAATCACTCTACAAAACCCAAGAAAATAAATAAATAAAAGATCTACGCCAACGTTTGTCAAACGCTATAAAAGACAGGCTTTTGTAGCATTTGACTGTCTATTGCAATGTTTGATAAATGTCTTTTGCAGCATTTGACTGTCTATTGCAACGTTTGATAAATGCTGCAAAAGATGGGTTTTTACAACGTTTGACAAACGCTGCAAAAGACGAGCTTTTGCAACGTTGTTTAAACACTACAAAAACTTTTGCCTCAACGGTAACATCAAACTTGCAACATACGCTAAAACGCTGCAAATGACTTTTTGCAACATTTTTTGGCCACTGCAAAAAGTCTTTTTTAGTGTAGTGATAGAAGATAGGTTAGGAAATAAGTTGGATAGGATTGATGCAAATTTAAAAAATATTAATAGAGATCAATGTGGTGAGAGGTTCAATGTGTGAAGATGGGAACCTAGGATAAAAAATTGTGATGCATATGAATATGATTGTGACATTGATGGAGTACTGGGATTGAGATATAAATGTGATAGGTTTGGAGAAAGGGATATGAAGGATCGGCATGAGCGGAAATTTAGGGAGAAGCCTTGGAGATGCTATGGGGATGATTATCCAGTGGAAAGAAAAATACCTAGTACGAAGTGTGTGGGTAGTGCATCAAGCAAGAGGATTGGGGTGGATTATAAATAGGAATTCTCTGAGATTCTCAACATTCTTATGTCTCAAATTAATCATCCAAAGGGACGGAAGGAGCAAGAGGGAAAAAAGGAAAATATTGAGGTGGTAGTTCGTGAGGAAAAAGAGGAGGAGCCAGAAGTCAGTGAAAAGAAAGTCGATGGTGAAATTGAAAAGGGAGAAGTGGTTAAAATAGAAGTGGAGCTAGAAGTAGAAATTGGAGTAGGGTCTTCGGGGATCAAAAGGGAGTTGGTAGTGAACTTACATGAAGAGGAGGTTAAAATGGAGGAAGTGTTGGCAAACGCTAACATTACCCTCCCTATTTTTGCTAATTCTATTTTGCAGGTCAACGAAGATTCGATTCCAAAAATTAATCATCTTGGAATCCCTTACAACCCAGGCATCAATCATCAATGTGTAGATGAAACTAATCAACAATTCCATCATTTGGACATCACTTTATTATCAGGGATTGAATTTGTGATTCCCGAGGAGACTACGGAGTTTCAAATGCAATGGAATAAATTTATTTGCAAGGAGTTCATATGCCATGGGTTGAGCTACAAAAATGATATGCCGAGAAAAATGCATCCATTTGAAGTGATAGTGCTACAGTTGTCTAAGCTGAGAAAAGCAAGGAGAATGCACGGTGACTCATTACATAAAGTTGTTTTGGGAGTATCTCAAGTGTTTGGGGCAAGTCAAGAAAGTAGAACACATGGTTATTGGAGCAGTTCCAACTTGCAAGATTAAGCGGTCGACGCGAGCGCACTCTAGTCCATGTGAAGGTGATTGGGTTTACTTAAGATGGAGACGAATTCAAGTTCAAAAGTGGTCCAAGTTTTATCCTAGAGGCGATGGACCATTTCATGTACTTGCATTGATTGGGAATAAGGACTACAATTTGGGCATTCAAGGTATGGATTCGAGAATGAATCCTTTCAAAGAGAGAGGGACTGATATGAGCCGTATAGAGATATTCCAGCTAGAATTCTTTCTTTTTGCCCAAGTTTCTTATTCCATTAGAATTCCATTTTAGGTGATATTTTATAATCTTTGAATTATTATTTCCATTTTCACCTATATTTTAGGGTTAGTATAAATAGGGTTTATTTTTTTGTATTCTAGAAGACTTTTATAATGAATTAATGGAGTTTTTCCTCTCGAAGCTTTCGCTTCAAAATATCGAACTTATCAAGATTTTATATCTTGTGGCGTTCGAACAAAATATCGGGTTGATTTCTTTGGGTTGTGTAATCAAAAGGTCCTTCGCGTCGCCATTAACATTGGGTTGTTTAATTCATTAATTCTTTGGCTCAAATCCACAAATCCGGAGGAGATATCAAGATTATGTAATTAAGAGCTCGTTTG